CAAATTTAGAAAACAACAGCAACATCTTTTTTTAACCTTTCACATGTTGTTCAAGGAGGCCAGATAAACTGGCCTATTTACATGTTTTAACAGCCAATAGTGTTGCGGAACTGAACAATAGGACCTATTAGCAATGTAAATGTGGTTTTAAAAGAAAAAAAATGGGGAAGGTTTATTTTTGTAGACTTAAATCTGATGTTGTAATATTACAACCGTGGGTCTCTGGGGGTTAATTACTCAGACTAAAAAGCAATAAATAAATAAATCCTAAATTGTTAAAGGCTTTATAAGTAGCTTTTATTTTTAGGCCTGTAGTCTGCGGGGCCTGCTGCTGTGTGGCTGGCAGTCACTCCTGCAAATTTTTGTTTTTGCTCACTCAAATACATTTCTTTCTTTCTCAAACCCAAAAGCAAAAATACCTTAAATTGATAAAGCTGTAATACACTTTCAAATTTACATTTCCAACTGTACCAACCATGAGGGTCAACATTTTTATCTGCAGTGAGTTGGCTAGTTTATCTCCAGGGCTAGCCATAGCAGCAAGTACAGCAGTGGTTGTTGTACCCATGTTTGCACCCAGTGTCAAGGGATAAGCTCTCTCAAGACTGATTACACCAATACATAAGATTGACAAGGTGTAAGTTTGGGTTTATATCTAAATCAAAACAAACCTAGAGTAATGAGTATGCAAAATTAGACTTACCAACCAGAGGCGTAAGTGCTGAAGTGAAGACTGAGCTACTTTGGACAAGAAAAGTCATCCCTGCTCCCACCAAAATGGCTATATAGCCTGTACCCCATTCAAAGGGGTAGGGTAAGTCTGAAATAAAAAATATACACAAGAAGTGAAACAATAGCATACAAACAAAATGAAATGATTTGACTGAATATTTGAGGCAAAGCACCATTCATTTCAGATGGGAAAAACACCTTATTTTGAGAAACTGTTGAGTCATAGTTGTCTTGAATGAGGTTGCCTCTAAATGTTAGCTGTATGTGTGCATCTTTGCACATTTCAATCAAATAAATCCAATTATTCATGGAATTAACTGTTTACTTCATGATGTCTAGATTTTTTTATTAAAGACAGTGTAACGGATCAAATGTGAAGTTTTCATCAGAAAAATGACCAGAAAGTAACTTGTTGTAAAAATACATTATTTTTTATAAACTAAACTTCACTCTGTCTGAATAGGCTCTATGCACGAGTCATTTCCGTGTTTTACATAAGGCCGCCCCCTCACTTCCGGTCCAGGAGAAGAAGCCAGCATAATGGTAGATACTTTGCAGTTCACTCGATGTTTGTTGGAATTACCACGATTTACAGTAAACGATGTGCGAAGAATTGTACGAGGATGCAGTTCAGCACCGCAGAGTACACTGGAGAAAGGTTTTAGGTTTTATGTGTCCTCGTATCTCTGCAATTATGAAGGTAAGTTGCTAAAGCTAGCAAAAACTAGCTACTTGCTAGCTGACTAATGCATGTGTATCCTCCGTATGCTAAGTTAAGACCTCTTGTTTCTTGGGCTATCTTCTAAATAAACATAAAAATGATGTCCCCAGTTAATATTTTTGTACTTTTGTTTTCAAGTGTCAGGGAGAAACCGGGCCACCAGTGAGATCTCGGTTAGAGCTCACTGCTATCGGTCCATGAAGAAAGCAGCCAAACCACACCAGCTGAGAGTAGGCTTTGCAATGAAGATTGTTGAACATGTTCTGATTTTCACTGTTATACCATGTTTCAGCTTGGACAAAAGGTGTGATAAGTTGTTTATCTTTGCAAATAATGGATATATTTTGAGAATTATAAAATATAATACATGAATATTCATAATAGACTTGAGCCTGAAAATAAATCCCAGCTGAAACAGTGGTTATGCAGCGTTGCAGTAGCTGAGTGAAAAGGTTCTGATGGTTTAAAGTCAGTGCATGCAACTAAAATCAAAGTTAAATGATTATATTATCTGTTAAATGAAAATAAATATTTTATATAAAATAGAGCAATGACCATCCATTCACTCAGCTTTTCAGCTGCTTATGTTCTACCTCAAATCTGTCTGTCATCTTTTTATTTTCTAGCTTTATTGTTCATTAGTATATGTACATAATGAGTTATTTTAAGTTCATTGACAGTATTTGTTTGTGTGTATTTCAGATTACTTTATGTGATTCTGATCCAGTTGTGCTGGTTACCAGCTCGTGCTCCTGTGTGGCTGGAATTGGGCTCTGTAACCATTTGGTTGCATTGCTTTACCAGACACCCCATTATTCAGAGTGTGGGATGTCTGCTGTTCCTCCTGTCCTTTCATGCACTGAGACAGAACAGAAGTGGCACAAACCTCGAACAATGGTTTGTATATAAAATTAGAATATCTGAAAGTAATACTATGTTACAATGTGGTTAAGAGACATGATAAAACGTTTAAAGCTAATTTTTTCCCCAAATTTACACCGGGTATAATTTTGATTAATTGTGTGATGTGAGTATGTGGAACCAAGAGAAAATCCCTTGATTGCATAACAAGGAAACTGATTCTGATTCTGCTTCTATCCAACACTAAATAGGGTGTGAAACCAGGACCAGTAGATGCCATGGTGGTAGTGAAACCCAAACCAGGTGCTACTTCATCAAGTGGAGTTAGGTAAGCAAAGTCACTGACTGCGTTTACATGCAGCCAATAACCCATTCAAAACCGGGTTATTGCAAATAGCATGGTCCCACAAGGCCATGTAAACACCAGCAAAAACCGGGTTATTACCCCTGGGGTAACCCTTTTCTAACCTGAATATCAGGTCATGTAAACGTCTATCGGGATAACCCTTTCATGAGGTGCGCTCTGCGCATGTTCTATTCACAAGGAATCTTGGTCTTTTGAGTAGATCAGGGGTCTGCAACCTTTTTCCCATCAAAGGTCCATTATCACCAGTTTACCACAGTAATGAAAACACTGGGAGCGCAGCAGCCGCGGTGTTGTGGGCGGGTCTACCGGCCTGAGCAGGAGCTGCTTTTTTAACACGCAAATGTCTCCTTTTAAAACCTGTTTAAACTGTTTAGAACACAAATCCAGGCTCTGTCTCATTTGGATTGTTGTAATTAAACTTTGTACTGAAAGAAACTTTACATTAAACAATTGAAAAGATAAGAAAAAGATCCGATCTATTTGATTTTTCCTTAATTTACAGTAACAGCGCAGTGCGTATGGCTCCGGTGTTAATTGAGTTTAGAAGGTTTTATCTTTCTCTTTGCAACAATCTTCACAAGAAGGTAAAACAGTTAAATAGCAGGGTTCGTATTGAACGGATAATTCCAGTATTTAACTGTTTCTTTTGATGGAAAACCTAGTGATGTGCCACTGAAGCCTCATGAAGCGCTTCAAAGCATTCCCAATCCCTACTGTGTCCAGACAGTGACTCGAGGCCTCAAACACATTAGCTGTGGCTCCATCTAGTGTTACAATGCAATGTTACAATGCATTAAAATGCTGTGTCTGAGGATATCATTGCAGGCAAAAGTGCATCAAATCTGATTTTATCTGAGTCTGAACAGCACAGATCAGATTGGGGGTGGTGGTGGGGGGTGGGGGGTGGGGTGTCCATGATTGAACTTAATACCAAACACTGTCAGTGAATAATATAGTTTGGGAAGACAGCAGGAATAATAATAATAACAATGAGAGGATTGAGAGAATGAGAATGAGAGAATACTGCCCTTAACCCGATCAAAACCCGAATAATGGCTGCATGTAAATGTAGTGACTGTTACATGTATTCTATCACTGTGTTGTAAAAATGGTTTCTTATGCTTTGATATTTCAGATCAGCACTTTATAAAGGCTACAGCGGTGAGCTGCCAGACCCAGCAACCCTCAACCCGACTGCTGTCTACACTGACTTTGACCCTGACTCTCTTCCACTGATCTGTTCAATGAATATCTCACCTGACAAACCCCTTGTGGACTCCATATTTGGTAAAGTACAGGCTGGCAGCATTCTATCCTACCAACATCCACCTCCTACATCTGATTGCGTTATCACCCACATGGATGCCCCACTGTTTCCAAAAGTGCCACTTGAAGACTATCACCTAAAGCCAACAGACTGTAAATATGTGCCAACAGAACAAGAACAGCTGCATTTGCAATCACTGTCCGTAACAAAGTCACAGTCACACAACATTGAAGAATCCACATGAAACCAGAGTGCAGCACCTGAGTGGCATTCATTGAGGAAGGAGAGGGTGACAGCTTCCACTTTTAGGGAGGTATGCCACGTTAGAGGTGCATCCACAGCTGAAAACCTGGCAGAGAGGATCATCCGAGGAACACGTCAAACAGCACTCATGAAGAGAGGACTGGACCTGGAGATGGATGCCTTGAGGGACAATGCAAAACTTAAAAACCTAAACTTGCAAAAATGTGGACTGGTAATTAATCCTGATGCACCATGGCTGGGTGCATCCCCTGATGGGCTAGTGTATGACCCATATGAGAGGCCACCATTTTGGTTAGTTGAAATGAAATGCCCAAATGCACAAAGTTACATTGACTGCAGTTACATCACAGTTATTCATGGCATGCACAAACTAAAGGAAAGTCATTCTTATTATTCGCAAGTGCAGGGGCAGTTGCTGATCACTGGCATGGAGTGGTGTGATTTTGTTGTTTGTGCCAATGATGACATGTTTGTGCAGCACATCTACAGAGACACACCTGTGTTAAATATCCTACGGCACAGATGGGATCTCTATGTGTCGCTAATCAAAAAACTTAAACTGGAGCTGGATGAATGAATTCATGATGCATTGTTTAATTTCATTTGTTTAATTTTGATAGTTCGTGTGATTCCATTCAAATATTTGTTTCAAAACATAAATAACACATTAAATATGCACATTTGTTTTTTACAATTCAATGCATCACACATATACTTTGTTACATTTAAAATCACATTTGACTACTGAGGGTCTGTTTTTCTACCATTAAAGTTAATCCATGCACACACATCTGTTTCTGGTGTTTTAACTATTTCTAATCCATGCATTTAGGACGGGGGGGGTGGGCAATTCTGGTCCTGGAGGGCTGCTATCCAGCAAGTTTTAATTGTTTCTCTGCCTAAACACACCTGGTTTGAATCTGCTGGTGATTAGCAGGCTGCTGCAGAGCCTGATGAGCTGCTGAACAGGTGGTTCATCCAGGAATCAGGTGTGTTGGGAGCAGGTAAACGACTAAAACCTGCTGGATAGCGGCCCTCAAGGACCAGGATTGCCCATCACTGATTTAGCAGGTATGTGAAGTTGTAGTGCAATACATCCATACTTTTAGCTGCTCCTTGCCCATGCTTTGACTGATAAGGGTCCATTTTGGTAGTTAACCAAGAGACAGGACACTGTGTACAGCTGATTGATGCTGCATGTGAGGGAAAGGGGGATTACTGTGCTAAATATTTTGTGCTCCTTAACCCTTTGCATGATTCGCTCTACGTGCACTCTCAGCCTTGCAATAGACTGTGTCTGTCTGATCTTTGCCCCAGACAGTTGTTCTCGCTTTGACAAAAAGGCAGGAATGTAGACCTTGCAGGGGACACAATCTTCCACAAGGAAACCCTTATCAACCATGATGGCTGCTGTTGGTTTTAGGAGGGAAACAATGCCAGACTGCTTCAGGATCTCTTTGTCACTGATGGAACCTTCATGCAGAGATGACACAAAGGTTATTGCACCATGAGGAGCCATACCAATCAGCCCTTTGAAGGTGCAGTGTGATTTGTATGTAGAGAACACCTCACTCTGCAGCAGAAGAGAGTTTGGTGTTTGGCACCACAGCTCTGTGCAATCCAGCACCACTGGAGTGTTTGAGTAGGTCTTAAACACATCTGGCAGGTGGGCCTTCACTTCATCCTCAGACATCCAAATGCCTACAGCTCCAAGCACAGTGTATAGAAAGCAGAGGTGGAAAGTAACAAATTTCATTTACTCACGTTACTGTAATTGAGTAGCTTTTTTGTATATTTATACTTTTTAAGTTGTTTTTAAAAGCTGTACTTTTACTTTTACTTGAGTAAGTTTTTAAAAAAGAATTGTAATTCGCTACATTTTAAATCATATCCGTTACTGAGTAAAATAAATTATAGGCTTAATAAATTAAAAATATTACGTGTAGCAGCGTTGGAACGGAAAGAGACACCTGCATGAGCGCCACGTCTAAACCGTGGGGGGGTGTGGGGGATGTACACTTTAGCTCAAAGACATTGGTTCAGTTCCTCAACTCGCTATTTACCTCCTCTCTCTCTCCTCTCCTGTGTGTTGGATCCCGCACCTTCACGCACCGGTGTGACGTCATCAGAATTCTGCTCGGTTCGGTAGCCGGACTCGGTTCCGTGCTTGAAAAGTGTTTCCCTGCCGTTCCGCACGGAAGCGGCAAAATAACGTTTAGCGCTCATAACAAGCAGATTATCAGCGCTTTGCTCATAAAACAGAAGACCTGCAGGCCTCTGTGAGTTAAACATCCTGATACTGTTCAGGTGTAAACATTGTGCTCCATCCCTGTGTTTGAACTCAGAAGATGCTTCTTGATGCCACAGATATGTGATGATTTAGCTTGTTTCTTTATTTTACTCCAGAAGAAGAGATTAAATTATTACAAAAGCAGTTCAATGTAGTTAAATTAGTCATTCAAAAGATTCTAACATGCTGCTGTGTGTGTGTGTGTGTGTGTGTGTGTGTGTGTGTGTGTGTGTGTGTGTGTGTGTGTGTGTGTGTGTGTGTGTGTGTGTTACACATATAGGACTGCATGAGACAGCATGGTTTCATCAAATCCATGCAGTCCTATATCTTGGCTGAAGTAATGGCTCAGGAAAATAACATATTTCATACATAATGTTGTCTCTGCAGTGTTTATGATAATGTTTTATCTTATCTTTGGTCTGGGACGTGTAACTTATCATGATACTAGCCTTTTAAAACATGTTAACGTTTTACAAGAGGAGATAAATGCATGAATTTAAAGTTCATGTTTGGAGACCAACCTTCACAGATTGGAGGCTCACGCTGGTGAGGAGACACCATTAGTTCTAGTAACATCTGGGCTCCCAAGGCCTGTTCTGACAGGATGGACGTTACGGCACCCTCAAGGATTCCAGTTGGACGATTGGAGGATTATTTAGGAGGATTGGAATGAACAAACTGGTTTCAGTGGTGAAGGGTTAAAGGAGTGAGTGAACCCACTACCAAGGATGAACTCTGCTAGCTTTAAAAATCAGCTGCTCTAAATAAGCATGAAGGTCAGAGAGGAGCTCTAGGATGGACATGGATGAAGGAACTGTAATGTAGAGGTAAAGTAGGGCAGGGCCAATGTTAACAGCTGTCATACGGTCCATCTGAAATGTTTGAATTTCATTTAGCTTGTTATGTGACAGTTTAGAGCACAGTCTCATGTTAGAGTTTTGTCATGAAAACATTGCGATACCTCACATACTGATGGCATCTTAAAAAATAATTTTTTTCTCAAAATAAAGAACAATTTTAACCACAATTGAAACTTACCATCCTAGAAAAACCTCGTCCAATCAATGTGCATGTCCTGTTCTCACCGATTGGATAGAAATCCCTCCTTCAAGCTGTGCGTGTGTGTATGTGTGTGCGCACACACACACGAGCGAATTGTGAACTGGCGTTGTGATTTAGCACTACTTAGATGTAGCCATCCTTACGCTGACAAAAATGTAACTAAGTAACTTTTACTTTGAGTACATTTTGTTTACGATACTCTTACTTTTACTTAAGTAAAAATTTAGGCAAGTACTTTTACTTGTAATTGAGTAAAAAATCATCAAAGTATTGGTACTTGTACTTAAGTAGGAAAGTTTAGTACTCTTTCCACCTCTGATAGAAAGTTAGCCCAAGTATTGATGATGTGGCTCACAGTTGACTGATGAATTTTGAATCTGTGGACGAAATCCTTTTGCAGCAGATCCAAAGACAAATATGTCAGGAACAGGAACATTTCATCAATAGGTTTAAGGGCCTATAAAAGAACAGAAATACAGAACAATAATATACATGTTCATTCAGAGATAACATAACTCACAGTTGTGCTGGTGGTGGGCAGAGGGACTGGTGGTGCCAGTGTTCAGCAGCCTCGCCTCTGACAGTGTGACCCAGGGCAACTGTGGCTACATTGTAGCTCATCATGGCCAGCATGCAAATATGTGTGTGAATGGGTGAATGACTGATTGCATTGTGAAGTGCTTTGGATTGTTGTAGAACCCTAAGAACGTGCTATACAAATGCAGGCCATTTACTATCTAATTAGATTAATTTTGAATAAAGAGTATAACATTTCTTTAACATTGAGCACAAAGATTTCTAATAAAGAACAAATGTAAAACATCATTCAGATACTAAATGAAAATCAAATCAAAATACAAAAAACCTGAGGATTACATTTCGCTCTTCATATGGATGGGTAGAATAAACTTACCGTTAAACCTGTGGAGTGAGGGACATCATGTTTCCCAAGTGCTGTCTGGGCTCTTGTCACACGCACCATTTCATGTGTTGCTGACTATCTGCCTCCAAAAGGCCATCAGGTGGGAATAACTTGCAAATCTGGAAACAAGTAAATGTTAAATTTTTCATACCATCGTTTTGTACTATATCTATTATATAAATATTGCATAATGATTATTTTAGGAGCCATTTTGTGTTTAATAACTGATATTAAGCCACAGATGCATGTAAATAATTGTGATAATATAAACAATTTACTGTAAATCCGACCTAAGTAATGCATCCTCCATTTAAATTTTATTTAATATTGCTGACAGCAATACATCTTTATTTCTCTGTTGTTGGTTCATAGCAACTTACACTCCCCCGCGATCAGCTTCTGACAGCCGCTGTCACTCTCAGCTGTTGTCAGTGCTGCTGCACCCCACCCCCACCATCCGGCCGCTACAGCGAACCCGTAACAGACTTTGAAGCTCCCAAACCACAACATCAGATACAAACGTGACAGCCATGGAATACTTATTTTATTAGAAATCTGACAAACACGGCTGGCGTTTAAAATTACCTTGTGTAATTACCTTGTGTAAAATCTGATGTCATCATCTGAAGCAGCAAACCGCTCCAGTCCATACTTGTTGCTGAGAGCCATCTCCTCCATTTGTTTACGTAGACTTGCGATTTCTGCTTGGAGATCTTGATTATGGTCCAGGGCGAGATCAAATGCAGCTGGTTCAGCTGAAGAGCAGAAGTCGTGGTCTGGGAGATGTTCATCCATGGGAGGGTCCTTATTTTGGATTATGTCCATACCTGTCTCTGGTCTCTCTTTTCTGTGCCAAACTGAGGGCCTTTGGGCTGGCAGAGTAAAGTTGTTCCACTGGAAAAGTAACAGGATGGCTCCATTCTTCAGACGTCTGCGTCCGCTCGGAGTTCGGTACTTTGAAAGTGTTGGCTGCAAACTCTGGTGTGATTTGTGATGGTGAAGTTGGTGCATCTTATTTTAATCAACCACTTCTTCTGTAGCTCCATGTCTTTAGGAAATGTGTGGAAACTGAGAACCGAATTAAATTTAGCTGAAGCTGAACACTGCGGTACACAGCACTGTTGCCCTGATGAGCTGTCCCTTCTTTGAAAAAAAAAATTAGCCTTTTTTTCTTCCATGATGGAGCAAATAATCAAAACAAATACGAGCGATCAGGCTGTTTTAAGCTAGCAGTAGGGGGTCTCTTTGAAACCGGAACTTGCAGCGCGGCCTTATAATTGACCGGAAATACGTCACCAACTCCCGTGCATAGAGCCTATTAATATGAGGTGTGTACATGGTCCCTGATAAGTAAAAGAAACTACAGTCTTCTGATTAGACATTAAAAGATCAATCTGATTGATATTTCATATTTATATGGAATTATGTTGATCATTTGTTACATATGTGATCAATTGATCAACCAATTTCAAATTGCTCTAAAATAGAAAATTGCTGTTTCCACTGGGTCATTA